AATAATAATAATAATAATAATAATAATAATAATAATAATAATAATAATAATAATAATAATAATAATAATAATAATAATAATAATAATCCTTTTTTCTTTTTCAGTTTATCAGAGAGCTCTTTGTGCAACTATGCTGGTTTCTTCTTGGATTTCTTGTTTTTCTTTTTCAATGGTATTGAATAGGATTGGGCTTTTATAATCGTTTTTTTCAGAGTTTCCCAAGCTTCTTGAGTTGTTTCCCCCTTTAAGATTTTTATCCATGGAATCCTTCCAAAGTTCTTTTGCAGATGGTGTGAGTGATGGTCAATTGCACCTGGATTAGAGTGTGATCTGATTATAACAATTGACTGGCTGACCTACTCTCCATCTCTAGATCACATCTCATCCATTCAGAGGCACAGAGGAGGTCTAACATAATTACTATACAAGGACTAGGTGTGTGGAGTGGGCAGGGGAGCAAAATATAGTAATTCTCCCATAATTCTTTAGAAAATCTGTCTTGGTGCCTTGGTCTTCTAACAGATCTATTGCCTTTTCCAAATCTCCTGGTGCTGGGATTTAATATTTCTAGGCAGAATAAGGATATTTGCAGTTGTTAAATTTCTTATCCTGAATCTCATTATCAACTTAGAGGGATCAGAGCAAATGCTTATCTAAATTGCTTCCATATTCAAAAGGATATGTAACTGGCTGACAAACCACACTCAATGAGCAGTCCTTAATGGAACTACTTGGAGGGAAGTAAGTAGCGAGGTATCCCTTCCAACTCTGTTGTTCTTTTTCTGTTACTAATCAAGGAAAGAAGCAACCTAGAACAAAGGAGAAAGTTTCTGACAATGAGAACAATTAACCAGTGGAACAGCTCGCCTTTAGAAGTTGTGGGTGCTGTATCACTGGAGGCTTTCAAGAAGAGACTGGACATCCACCTGCCTGAAATTATTTGCTTTGGGTCCTGTGATTGATTCATTGAATACCGTGGTTGTTAAACAGATCTATTTTCCCCAAAGTATTTTTTTTTTGCCAGAAACAGGAAGTAAATACCAGAAACTGACAAAAACATATTGAAAATCAAAATCATGTGACAGCAGGCCACTGCCACTGCCAATAAAGGTGAACTAGTTGCCAACTACCTAGAGTGCTATCGTGTGACTGTTGGGCCAGGCCAACACTGAGTTCATTATACCAGTGGAATTTGAGTGAAGAATCACACTGTAAGAAGAAACAGGGGTTCAATACTTTATTTCTGCACAGAAGTAAAGATGGACACTTGTGATCCATGTCCCAATTAAGTGCATCTGTTGATATTCAGCAAGCTATTTTTATATCTTAAAACCAGATATACACATCAGAATTCCTGGATATTGTACCTGATTATTTGTTTGTTTGTTTGTTCATTCGTCCCTGCCACTCATCTCCCCTATAAGGTGATTCTGGGCAGCTTACAGGTTATAAATCAAGTAAAAATAGTTAAAATATTTAAAAATCCAACAACACAGAATTAGAATATTATTATGAACCAAACTAAGAGAGCTAAGAGCTGGATGGGATGGGGATGAGGTCTTCTATCTAACACCATCAGTCAACTACAGCAGTGAGCGTCCCCCTTCGGGCTGCAGGCCAGCTGAGAAAGTCAGGTTTGATACTCTTCCGGAAGACCAAAAGGGAGGGGGCAGTTCTCATGTCCACAGTAGAATGTTCCACAGGGATAGGGCACAATGGAAAAGGCTCTTCTTCTCCATACCCCCTAATTCAATTCCTTAGTAGATGTTGTACATAGTGATCCATTTCCACTGGTGCAAGTGGGGCAGGTTTGTCCCATCAGGGAGTGATAGCTCCTCAGATTCCATGGAGCCATATCATGTAAGCCTTTAAAGGTAACAACCAATGCTTTGAATTGGATCTGGAAGCAAGCTGGTAACAAATGCAGCTCATGCAATAAGGGTGTTATATGTGCAACCCTGGGAAATTCCAAGATGGTACATGCTGCTGCATTCTGCACCAGCTACAGCTTCCACATACTCTTAAAGGTTAGACTCATGTAGAATGCATAGCAGTAATCCTTAATTAGCAGTAGACACTTAATTAGTTCTCTTCACCTGGATGTGTTTTTTTAATGACTGTTTTTACCTCCAGATCTTTTCCTTGTTACAGTAATGGGCCCACTTACAAAATTCTTCAGCAAAAATACAGATCCACAATTGGCTAGCTATATTAACACTTTCTATAACTGTAACTAATTCATGGGTGTCTTGCAAAAACCCCTCGATAGTTAATAGGCCAGTGCCTCAGATGTAATATTTTGTTTTGACAACAAATGTTCCTTTGTATTCAGTTCAGTTCCCTTTGCCTGTGTCTAATTCCCAAGTCTATTTTATTTACAGAAGCCTCCTTAGCAGATGTATATTTTCTGTGAATCCTAAGTATTTTACATTTTTCTCCAGATTGCTGACCTAAAAAGCTTCTGAAATCTAAAATTCTGCTGTGCTCTCTATTTTCTTCTTTCTGTCCTCAATTAGAGGTTACTAAGTGATCTTCATTTGATTGTCCTGTAGACCAGCCTCAATTCTTCATCCTGAAAAATCTCTCCATACTTCCAACTGCTTTATTAATTGAATGCCCAAAATAATCCATTTTCATAATTCAGCCACCTGCACCACAGGATGAAAGTCAGCATAATCACTAGATTATAGGGGTATCTTGCCCTATAATAGGTTACCCAGTACTTCCAATTTCACCTACCTTGGCCTAACACTAAATAGATACAACTACCCATGTTCAATCATGCCTGGGTTGATCAATCACTTCTTCATTTCAGCCTATATGGAGCCTTCATATCCTCAACAATCTACTCATCCAAGCTCACTATTGGAACACCACTCAGTTCACCCTCTGTGAGAAAAATAACATTGAGGGAGAAGGTTTGTTCTCCAAGCTTGTGGGTTGGTTTCCAAACTTTTCATTACCAGGCTAGGTAACATCTTCAGCGGAGTTTAGGGGATGTCAATGTCAGTGTTCTTCTGTTTATAAGAGCTTCAGGTGTGGGTGTGTCAAGTGAGGGTCTTGTGAGGGGTCTGGTATGAATCATCAGTGAGAGGCTTGTGATGGGTCTTGTGAGGGGGAAGTTCAGTGGGAGGTGAACTGCTGGTGGGAGGGGAGCGTGCATGGGTTGATTGAGAGTTGGTGCTGTGTCTGGCTGGCTGTGCAGTTGATTTGGATTCTGAGGGATTCGTAGGCTGGTTGTAGGTTGATGTGTCTGTTGATGGAATTGCTTGTGGAGTGCCAGGCGTCGATGAACTCACAAGTGTGGTGGGTGATAGCATGGCTGATGATTTTAGTGTTGCTCCAATCAAATTGATGTTGCTTGGTGTCGGTGTTGGTAGAGATTAAGGATTTGGGATTGTGGCATTTGACTGCCAGCTGGTGTTCATGGCATTCGCCACTATTGCAAAAATAACATTATTTGATTGAAATTGATTACATTTATTCATATGTAGCGATATAAGGCTACAGTCTGTTATCTTATTAGAACAATTCAAATTTGCAGTAGGAAATTATTTTCTTTTGGTGTGTGGAATTCCCAAACAGCCCCGACTTCTTAATTTATGGGAGATAATTTATTCCCTGTTTTAATTTTTCATCCTTTTGGACTTCTAAATGAAAGCTGACACAGGAAGAGACTTCAGCTCCATTACCTATAGTAACCAGAGTTCATTTACCTATTAATATGTATGGTTAAATCATCTGACCAAAAATATTGAAAATCAAAATCATGGGACAGCAGGCCACTACAAATGAGCATAAAGGTGAACTAGTTGCCAAACACCCAGAGTGCTATCATGTGACCGTTGGGCCAGGCCAACACTGGGTTCATTATACCAGTGGAATTTGAGCCAAAAATCACACTGGGAGAGGAAACTGGGGTTCAGTATATTATTTCTACACAGAAGTAAAGATGGATGCTTCTGAAGTTGCAAGTTTTTTTATTTTTTTAAATCATATATACCCATCAGAATTTCCTGAAATTTCATCACTTCTATCTGACTTTGTTTATTCATTACATTTTTATGCAGTCTATCTCCCCTACAAAGTAACTCTGGGCAGCTTGCAGGTTAGAAAACAAATAAAAATAGTTAAAAGATTAAAACAACACAAAATTAAAATATTATTAAAAACTATATTAAAACTATACTAAGAGAGCTAAGAGCTGGATGGAATGGAGGTGAAGTCTTCTTATTCCATCGGACAATGCCTCGGATATAATAATTTAATTTTTATTTTATTTTGAAATCAAATATTCCTTTGTATTCAGATCAGGTTTTAGGAAAATAATGTAACATTTGGGGATAAAAATGAAGCCTAACAGGCTGGCACTTGAAGCCAGGATGGAGAAAATTTGCACAGCCACCATGTACTTCCCTTTGGTACTAAGATAAGTGGGTACAAAGGATACCCAGACACTACAGAAAATCAGCATGCTGAAGGTGATGAGCTTGGCTTCATTGAAGGCCCCAGGTAGATTCCTGGCAAAGAAAGCCACCAGGAAGCAGATGACAGCCAGGAAGCCCATGTAGCCTAGGGCAAGGTAGAACATGGCTACAGAACCTTCATTACATTGAAGAATGATCTTCTCAGACTGCGAGTATGAGTCCAAATCAGGAAATGGGGGAGAAATGCCCAGCCAGATGCTGCACACAACAACTTGGACACCTGAACAAGAAAGGATGATGGAGTTGGCCAGGCTCTTCCCCAGCCATCTCTGCATTTTATTCCCTGGTTTTGTGGCCAAGAATGCTAACACCACAGTGACTGTTTTGGCCAGGATGGTAGAAATGGCAACTGAGAAAATACTGCTAAAGGCTGTTTGTCGGAGAAGGCAGGTGGCTTTCATTGGCTGACCAATAAATAGAAAGGAACTCAAGAAGCAAAGCAAGAGGGCGATGAGGAGAATGTAGGATAGATCTTGATTGTTGGCTTTGACTACGGGAGTTTCTTGGAATTTAATGAAGATTCCCAAGATTGATCCTGTTACCAAAGACAGAAATAAGGCAAGGAAAGCTAGGATGATCCCCCAATTTTCTTGATAGGATAGGAATGTTTCAATTTTAGGTATACATTCATCTCTCCTGATGTTTGGATACTGATTTGTTGGACATTTGGTACATTTTTCAGCATCTGAAAAGAGCAAGATTAACATCTATTGTAGAGCATGTTTTTCAATGAAATCCACCGTTGGAGTGAAACTGGTGATGGGATGAATGAACATGAGGAGAAAAGCAGCATGCAGCAGTGGTTGAGAAATTTAAGTAGGATAATGAGGGAAAAAAGTCCCAAAGGCAAATGAGATTGTGTGCCACACATTCTCAGGATGAGGTGTGACTGCTTTCAGAGGTTGCATTGTTTGCATCCCATATTCCACAAAGCACTTTTTAGAGCTGAAATTCAAAGCAGCCCTCCCACCAATGATCCATGGAGAATTGGTCATTGGAAACTCCTATCTCAAGCAGAGGAAGGAGAAGAGAGTTGGAGCCAAAGTCTCCCTGGCCCTTTCCACCTCGGCTTCTTTTGACAAGGAAGATATTTCACAATTAATTTAGCTTCTGATCTTAAATTGTCAGATCTTCTGTCTGGATAGCAGTTTTCTTGATAGGTGGAATCCCCTGTTCCTTTATCATCCCACTCATAACTAATATCTGCTTGGTCACCTCTTTTGAGGATGAATGAAAAAAGTTCAGTCTAAGTTCTTCCTGTGATTTCAGCTAGAATGTGAAAGTCTTCATTTCATTGGCTTAAAAAAAAAAGAGAAACTCCATTTCTCATCAGGGAGGGAGGGAAAGAGGGAAAGAGGGAGGGAAAGAGGGAAAGAGGGAAAGAGGGAGGGAGGGAGGGAGGGAGGGAGGAAAGAAGGAAGGAAGGAAGGAAGGAAGGAAGGAGGGAGGGAGGGAGGGAGGGAGAGAGGGAGAGAGGGAGGATCCAGTGTTGGATCTAAAGGTCAACGTGTTAAATAAATAAGTCTAGCCTTTTAATCATGCATCATTAGATGGATAGAATTGGATGGGATGGGATGGGATGGGAGAGGAGATTCTCAATTTCTACAGAAATGCCAAGGAAAATTGTCCAATAAGGAAAAAGAAGAGGAAGAAATGCTGTCTCACTTCTAAAGCAAAGCCATAATTTTCCAATTTAAATTTCAAGATTAGTTCTTATTACACATTGTGCAAAAAATTATTCATATTAAAACAATTTTTCTTTCTTTTTTTAAAAAAATCCCTTTTACGAATAATATCAGGGTGTATGGTCTGCCTCTTTTGTCTGGTGCCACCCACCTTCCATAATGGAGATTGTTCCCTCTGCACAAGGATGACAGTCATAGCAGCAAATGGGCTTCCCTTCCTGAGCCACCTTCATGAATCCAGGATGGCAGCTTTCCACACATCTGGAAGGAGGCAGGGTCTGAGGAGAGAGAGGTGGAAAATCCAGGATATGAAATTATTTTCAAAAAAATGTCAAGGAAAGAAGGATTTGGTGATCTCCAGTTCAAGAATTTGCTTTGACTAATTAGAAACCAATAGGAAATCTGAAATTCATCAAACACATTCCACCTCTATTTCTCTTTCCTTCTGATGTTTACATACATACCACAGATTTAGATTTTCAAATTAAATTTAAATGTTAGATTTATCAGGGAAATATGGGACGGATTCTTTACATTTTCTGAATTAATGACTTTATCCATATAAGTAGCTCAATCCATTTCTACTTTTTCCACAGACTTAGTGAATAGTTTATATGAATATTGAAGACTATATTTTTCATGGCCACCTGAATAGTCAGCAAATAAGAAGTTTGCACTCTTGACAGCTTGGTCAGCTGACATGAAAACTCAAAAAGAGCTCCCTCCCATCCCAAAAGTTTAATCCTGTTGTTGCACTTTCAGTGGAAGAAAAATAAATATTTGTCCCACCTTATTCAGCATTTCCAACTGTATGATACTCTTCTGGTCAACAGAAAATTTGAAATCCTGGGATGTCAGTTTTTCTAGACTCCCAGATTTAACTCTCTTGACAGATTTGTTTGAGAAAACAACCCAGCTCACAATGTCCAGGTCAGCTGTCAGATCTCCCTTTTTATCCAGATATACTCCTTCTATGGAATGATTGTGAAACTGAGAGCCTTGAAGGAAGGAATTAAGCTGGAAAGGAAAGGAAGAGTTTAAAAAGGACATTAGACATTCTTAGAAAATCAACCCCTTTGGTTGATGCTGGGAAGGATCTGAATATTTCTCTCTCTGTCTTTAAATAGCAGGTTCTATTTCCTGTTTCCAACTTGTTTAGGAGAGTATCAATAAGCCTAGGAGTAATAATAGCTGTAAGTTAGAGCAATAGTTGTAATGGACAGGTGTCTCAGCATCTGGTCATGTTCCTCTTCCCATTGCTTTATCACAGAAATGCTGATATAAAATTCCTCTAAAGGTAAACAAACTATTATTTTTTCATTTCTTCATTCTTATTAACCTAAAATTAATCTACAAATATTAAAATAAAAAGCAAATTTCAGTCATACAGTTTTTCCTTTAACCTGAGACATGTTTTGTAATTTTTTGCATGTTTTATATACCGTACTTCCCCAATTGAGTTCGGGAGTTCCACATTTCCTACTTTCCCATGTTGTTCTCTGGTTATTTCATGGAATATATCACTGATAATACAAATATATTAATCCACCACTTCTTTCTTTTTGCTAAGACATTCCTTTCCAAGGTTGGAGATAATTACCTGATTGTCTCCAACTGTCTAATGTGTGAACTCAGACTCATCAGTGTGAGATAAAAGGATGACTGAACAACCAAGATATCAATGTACCGGTAGGTGTTTTGAAAAGCATAAAAATAAAACAGGAAATTATTACAAAACAAGAATTAAAGGGAATGGAAAGGAAAGTGAAGGACATGGAAGGTTCAAATTATATTGAAGTTGAATTTCAAGATAATTTAGTTTTCCAGAATAAGTAACCAAGGCATTCACTTCAATAACTGCTTCCCACGCACAGGGGAAATAAGTCTAATGAAAAAGAAATACCTGCCATGGCTTCAGTCTTGGAGCTTCCACCTTCACCCCCCTGTTCCTCACTGATCTCTTGAATGTGGACATATGAGCTGAATTTAAGGACCTTCCCAAAGCCCAAATGATGTTGGAAATGAGGTAGCTGTCTAGAGCCAGGATCTGATCAATCTCCTCCTTCTTGAGAGTCTCCAGTTCTTCTCTCTCTTTGCACCGTCTCCAGATTTTCACCGAAAAGGCATCCTTAGTGGATGAACATGTAAACCTTTTCTCCAAAAAGTTAAATATGGATGTGACAATGATTGTAAAAGCATCATAGTTTGCCCATTTCCCTTTCTGTATCAGAAAGGAAAAAATCCCACCAACGTGTTTCAAGGAATGAATACTAAACATAAAATCAAGACTGAGATCCCACTGAGCTGTTGTGATCCAGACTTTATCCACAACATGTTTCTGAATGTGTTGAAGTCCTCCTTGTATAATTATCATTCCTATTGTGAATGAATTAGCCTCTGAACCGTAAACAAAGACATTGACTTTTCTCCACTTATAATATTCTTGTAATTTTATATTCATTTCAGCAACATTTAGTGTAAAGCTTTGACGTATAACTGCACAAATGCCATTCCTTAACATCAAAGAAGTCATCGTCCTCATGAACCTCTCCCCCTGGTCAGTTTTTGGAGCAACGAGACCAACCAAGGTCCATCTGAAATGAAGTAGCAGTTGGACAATCCCTGGGTACTGGACTCCTTCAGCAGGGAGCATTGGGTAGAAGAAAGGAAACTGAGTTTTATCCCACAGAATTTGGGAAGCAAAATTGTAACTGATCTGAAAGGAATGGAAGATGGTGGTACTTTAAATGTAACAAGCAAAATGTAATTCCTCTCATTCCCATAATAAAACTTAACTTTTCATTTACAGCAAATGAGCACTGATTGAAACTTGCTTGACTGAAAACAGTCTCCCAAAGAAAGACAAACCTGAGGGATTTTGTAGGTACCCAACATGGTTGAAATCTGGATGGAGATGCCAGTCTCAGCTTCTTCCAGAAGAGCCACTGTGTGTCTCTGCCTTCCACACCTGTAATTGGGGACATTGGCCTCCCCATCTGAAAGCAGGTCCAGCAAAGCCTCTGAAGTCATTTCTTCCTTGAAGAAATTTTCATAGATATTATAACCCAGGGTGATGTTAGGAAAGATCTGACTATTCTGATTGACGTCCTCGATGGCAAATAGGAAGGGCACAAATTTCCAATAAAATTTGGTTGTTTTTCTGCAGGTACAAACACATTGATGAAAATATCATTTAATTTGTCTTTCATGATAATACTTTTCATCCATTACATCACAAGCAGTATTCCTAAAATGTTACAATATTCTATAATATTACCATAGAAAAAGAATGAAAAGAATAGAATCATTTTATGAATCATAAAATATTTCAAAGACATTTGGTTAAACTAACACCATTTCAATTTCATGTTATAGTTTTCAAAAAAGTATTCTACAATTGATGGATTCTTATCTCTTTATAAAAGTGGTTGATACACCCACATGGCTAAAAAAGACCTATTTACTGTTAGCTGTAGTATATTCCAGATATTATAAATATTTTTGAATTTGGATCAAATGTTTAGACGAACTGAGAATGGCTCCTGCATGGATAACATTCAGAAGTTCATAAAAACTAGGTTATTCTCCGCACTTCTGAGTCAGAGTGAAGTTTGAACTCCTAATGGACGAACCTTTGTTTGATTTTTTATTTTTGTTGTTCCTGGGGCAGTTTTTTAATTATTATTTTCTTGATTTCTATGTTTTTAATTATAAGCCACCCAATCACATAGCCTATGAATTAATATGTAAATAAGCAAATCTATCAGCCAACCAATTTAATAAAGATAATATTTTCATTTTTTAAAAAATGTTAGGTATGACATGAACTCATGAATGAGAACGAGAGACATTTACAAAATCCATGAACGTCTATGTTCTTAACTGGAACTCTTTAATCCGAGCAATAAATTTTGATCTCCAATGCAGAGAGAAAAGAGAAGCATCCCTGTGAGGTTGGACCAGTGTCCTCCAGAGTCCAGCTCAGTTCAGGAGTAAGGTGGAGGGAGAGATCAGACTCTCCCTGCCTGTCCACAGTCTAATTCTGCTGACAGGATGGAAAGAAAAGTGGATGGGGGAAATATAGTAATTGGTTTCTGATACTTGAAAGCTTGAAATGATACCATGCATGCAACAGGCATCTCAAGGTAGAATCAGAAAGTAAATTAGTAATTGGGACAGATTGAGGGGCGAAAGAAAACACCTTGTGTTTTGGATGGGTTGGAACTCTAGACTTTCATTGGAAATGAGGTGTCTGTAATGCAGGGTAGGAAAATTGACTTACTTGGATAAAGTTGTTGAAGGACTTTTATTGAAGCTTAAGGATTGAAGTGCAACCTTCATTGCAGAGACTATGACGCTAATCAAATAATCTCCTGGCTTGTAATAATTCTGTGGGTCCACTTCACCCTGTTCCAAAATCAGGAGGCATTTGGCTTTGTGCATCCCCCAAGCATCCCTTGGCCACAGAAGCAGTGCAAATAGAAGCAGCAGCAACATGACTTGTGTTCCTGACTGAGACTTCTCTATTGCACTTACTTTTTTAACAAAAAAGGATGAGAAGAAGAGTTGGAAGAAACCAAAACCTCTTCCAAGACAGAAGCGTTAGAACCAGACTGGGTCCAGCCAAGTGAAATATACATAGCCTCAGCTTTTCTCTGTGTCCAGAGCCACTGATGTACTCAGCATATGTGACATAGACTCCACTCAACATTACTTTTGAGTCTGAGATCATCACCAAAACATTTTCTGACATGTTTGTGTTAAATTTTCTGAAAAATTGCAGAAAGGTCTCTGAAGACCTAACATAAAGACAAGAAATAAATCACCATGATTTGGATAATTGCAAGATAAAGAAGCATCACCTCTCTGAACCCTGAACATGTCAATAGGCAGGTGTTCAAAGTTTAAATTCACAGATGTGACTCCAAACTTTGATGACGGGCCACTGAGATTGGAGGATTTGGCCCCAAATCTTTCCAGTAGTACACTTTTAGAGAACTCAGGATGAAGACAGTGTTTTAGCTTGGCCATGATTAGTGGACATATTAATATGGATATAGTTTGGCTTTTTTTCCTAGGAAAATTTACTTATAGGTATTTAGGTGAATCCCACTTAGAGGGATTATTATTATTCCCTGTTTGAAGATAATCAAATGTAGAGAACAGAAAAATTATTTCCTATTAATCTTACTAACCTTTATTATGATTCCCATCACATCCAGCAAAATCCTGAGAAGGAGACCTTTTGCTTCACATTCTGCAAATCTAATTCAACTCTTTTCCTGCTTTTCTTTTAAAGGTGAAGTAGTCATCTTTATATTTGTATTTATTTTGTAAATGTGGCATTTTTATCCAAAATTTATGTATCAACTTAGAAACCCCAGACACAATGATTTAAAATTCAGGGTCATTCAAAAATACACACATACTCAATCAAAGAATCTTATTTGTATATTCAAGACCAAATGATAGTGAAAGAAAAAAAAGGATTTGGTGCTTTTTTTCTTAGTTGTATTATTTTTAAACAATAGTAATACATTAATTATTGTTTTCTAAAATGAGTAACTGATATTTTGGAGAAATCCCAAAACCCACTTAACTTATTATTTAGACATGATGTTCTTTTATATTATTATATACAAAATAACATACATTATTTTCATTCAGAATGTAATTAAAAATAATGTAGCAATGAAGATTTATACCAGCAGACCAAAACTGGAAGCCAAGATGGATAATAACTGCACAACTACCATGGACACTGAAAAAGGCCAGCATGCTGCAGGTGATCAGATTGGCTTCATTAAAATCTCAGACAGAGACTTTGAGGAAAAGCCACTACAAAACAGAAGGCTGTCATTTAGCCAAGGGTTTTAGAATCATAACCATCTCTTCAGGTTGAAGGATAGGTCAGTGGTGGCAAACCTATGGCATACGTGCCAGAGACGGCACTCAGAGCCCTCTCTGTGGGCATGCATGCCATCGCCCCAGCCCCACTTCCCCCTGTGGCCCCCTCCTCACCAGCAGCTCCCCCCGGAGGAGAGTTGCCCCCAAGCGCAGCCCGTGCAGAGCAGTGCAGCCAAGGACATGGCAGCTGGGCAGCAGGGACAAGACTCTGCCCTCAAACCCCATCATGCACAGTTGATGCTGCAGGGTGTGGGTGGAGGACGTGGGTGCCATGGCGCTGCTGGGCTGCCTGGGCGATCTGTGGTGGGCTGTAGAGGCGATGCGTGGCCCAGTGGGCGGGGGGCAGGGGGTAGGGGTGGAGTGGGGACAGAGCAGGCAGGGTGGGGGTAGGGCATGAGGGGTGGGGTGGGGTGTGGAGTGGGGGTGGGCAGGGGTGGGCGGGGCAGGAGCAGGGCCAGTTTTTGGGCACTCGGTCTCTGAAAGGTTCACCATCACTGGGATAGGTCATAGCCAGAGAAGGGGGTCAGAAGTTCCAAACTAAATGCTGCAGATGACAACTCTGAGAAGAAAACTAGATCAAAGCTATTTGTATTACAAATAGCCAAAATTGGGATTGTCAAACATTCAATGAATGAATGAATGAATGAATGAGTGAGTGAGTGAGTGAATGAGTAAGTAAGTAAGTAAGTAAATAAATAAATAAATAAATCTATATAAATAAAAATGTAAATGTTCCTTTGTTCAAAATCTTAAATCTCCGAAAATTCTTCACCGATTGCTTTGAAATTTTGACACAACGTTGCATTCGAATACATGCATGTTTTTATATACCTATATTATATAGATGTCACACCTGTGACAGATAAAAACATGCTTTCTGTGAAAAACAGCGCCATCTGTTGGACGTAAAAGCAACACATGCTTTTACTAGACTGAGCCACAGCAACGCGTGGCTGGGTACAGCTAGTAAATAAATAAATAGTTAGAATTGAGACCTGGAAATAGACCTAGAGATTGTGAACAGATTGATTTTGAAGTCACTTAGAAAAGAGATGTTTAGGAATTTAGAAAACAGGAATCCTTGAATTTCAAGTTAATGTTCAATCAGAATGATACTGCAGAAATGGAAGAGATGTAAGGTGGAAAAAGGCTTTATTTCACAGAGACACAGACACATACAGACACACACACACACAAACACACCAAAGCTCTGAAGCTTTTGTCAGCTGGATTGCACTCCTCAGGCAGGGAGTGAGTAAATTTGAAGGTTGTCTAATCTCATCTAGAGATAAAAGATTGCCAATGGTTACAGGTCCAGGTGTCTATAAGAAATCAAATCCTAATTATTCAAATAAAGTTACTGTAGCTTTTTTTCTGCACCCCCAATCTTACTTTGATTTATTTTCAACATTGTTGTGAGGTGGAGATATAAAGTTGAGCATTGTCAGCATACTGATAATATCTCAACCCATGGAAATGGATGATCTCACCCAGTGGTTTCATGCAGATATTAAAAAGGAGTGGAGAGAGTCCCGAGCCCTGTAGCATGCCACAAAAGAGTGGCTGTGGGCTAGATCTCTCACTTCCCATCAACACCAGTTGGGCTTGGGCTTGGAGAAAAGAGCCAAACCAGCACAAGATTATGCTGTCCAGCCCTAAACCTCATAGCTGGGATAAAAGGATATTATGGTCAATGGCATTGAAGGCCACTGAGAGGTCAAGGAGAGCAAGGATGATTGCACTACTCCTATCCTGCTCTCAGTAGAGATCATCAGACAGTGTGACCAATGCTCTCTCCATCCCATAACTGAGCCTGTATCCTGTCTAGACGGATATCTGTTTCATCTATAGGACCTTTTCTCCCACCTTCCCTAGAAAGCAAAGATAGGAAACCGGACAGAAATTGTCCAGGCTTTTGGGATCAACACAGAAGTGTTAGATGTGGCCATGAGAACTACTAAGCACTTAACCTAAGGGGTAGAACACCAAATCAGTGAGTGAAGATCCAGAGCACTTCTAGTATAAGCAACTTGAGATTTCACTATTCCATTCTCAGAACTGTATTGTGCTCCTGTAGTGTTCCATCAAGTGGTTGTGAAAGTTAAAGGTGTAGAACTATATCTGTGTATTGTACAAGCATCACTGGAGGATTGTAAGAAGAGACTGGACAGCCACTTGTCTGGAATAGAATAGTCTCCTATTTGAGCAGGGAATTGAACTTGAAGACTGAAAAGGTGAAAGGGAAGAGAAGAAGACAACTAGCAGCAGTATGGTGATAAACTACATTACAGTAGAAATTAATTTTTTCAAATTCACTATTTTTCAAAGCACCAGAAGGTAAGACAAAAACCAATAGATGGAAAGTAATCAAGGAGAGAAGCAATCTAGAACTAAGGAGAAATTTCCTAATAGTGACAACAATCAACCAGTGGAATGCCTTGTCTTCAGAAGTGAGCGCTGAAAGTTTTCAGGAAGAGACTGGACAGCCATTTGTCTGAAATGGTATAGACTCTCCTGCTTGTGCGGGGAGTTGGACTAGATGAACTCCAAGATCCCTTCCAATTCTACTTATTCTAAGTAAGTCTATGAATGGATCATTGGAAGACCTGGCAGACCAGATGGATAGATTGTCATGACTGCAAAGAAATACAATCCTTCCGTTCCCTCCCCTAAACAAAATCTCCATCCCCCCTGCCATCACAACTGATGAAGTTTCTTGGATGAGAAATGACACATTTTGTTCTTTTTCCTTAAGGAAAAAAAAACAGTCCAGTTGCCTTTTGAAAAAGCACATTTGAGATGCATCCATATATATTTATTTCTGGTATTTTCCCATTTATCAGGCATGGATAATTGTCCTCTAAAAGCTTTCTTACATCCTCCACCAAGCTAGAGTTTGGACTAGTTCAGTGGTGGAGAACCTATGGCACGGGTGCCAGAAGCGGCACTCAGAGCCCTCTCTGTGGGCACGCGCACTGTCGCCCCAGTCCTAGGCCTTCAGCTGGGTTTTATAAAACCTTTTCGCTTTAGGCCTCCGCTGCCGTGTGCAAAAAAAAAAGGGTTCAATCAATCAGTCAATTTCAACTTCTTGCGGGAAAAAAAGATCTTGCAAAGTTGGAATTGATTGATTGAACTTTTTAGTCCCACCCAGTCTTCCGTTACCACCACAGCCATGCCTACCCAATGGGCCACACTCATACAATTGGCCATGCCCACCCGGCACTCGACGATGCATAAGTGGGTTTTGGGTTGCAGTTTGGGCACTCAGTCTCTAAAAGGTTCGCCATCACTGGACTAGTTGATCCCTGAGGTCCCTTCCAATTCATAACTACAAATTTGCATCAACTGGAGCTTCTAAGTAATCTTCCAAAGCAGCCCCATATTGATTGCATTACAGTAGGTTCTTTCTACTATTATGTTATGTGAACCAGCTAGGGTTCATTGTTAATAATGGCTAAGAACATAGCTTGCTGAGTGACCTCAGCCAATTGTGGCTTTGTCAATCATGGTTAGCTGGGGCCATGGGTTAAGGTGTG